GGTCATAGGGCAACCTATCTATATACATAATATCGAGTGTCTGTATGTATTTTACCGGATGAAAGGTTAAATATCTGAGGTCATACATTAAAGGAGAAAACAGCCGTGCAGTATGCACGGGTTCTCGCTAGTGACAATATATTATCTCGTAGCTTTCTGTCAGTGTTAATTCTCAGTGAGCTTAGAAGTGTTAAATAAGTACTGAAAGTTAAAAGATCAAAGTACTAACTTTAGTGAAAGATTACCTTATATCGGTCATAGCTGTCTGTTATTGTGTTGAGTCGTGTGCACACGTTGCGAAGTGAAAACAGAATTGTTAAGACATCAAGATCGTCTAGAATACGATAAATGAGTTCTACGGGTAGTTTGAGAAGCGACAAAGTAGCGTTAGTGGCCATCGATCTTGTCAGGAAACTTAAAATGAATATCTCGCTAAAAAAATGTGTTTAACTGAAGTGTATGCGTGTTTTGAAAAGTTTTTTCCCGATAATTACAGATGGTTGTGCAATTTCTTCCTTGCACGAAGAACGACAAAAGTGACATCATTAAAAGCAAAGATTATATTCATCATCAACATATTATATCCTATTTTCTTACTACAACCTTCAGGGAACGCCTATGATATCAAGGGCTAAGAGTTCAGGAACAATTGTCGAAAATTTTCTCACTCCGTATAATAGCAAGATTCTAATAGATGAAAATTCAAAAAAGAGGGTGTGGATGTGGATGTGGATGAGTGTGGCGGAGTGTGGGTGCGAGTGTGATGAACACATATTGTATACCCACAGGGTGGGGTGTGGGTGGGTGTGGGGTGTGGGTGTGGGTAGGTGTGGGTGTGGATGGGGTTGGGGGTGGGGGTGGCCGTGGGTGTGGGTAGATCTGAGTGAGGAGAAGACCAGCATCCACACCGACACCAAATCCACACCCACACCCACCCACCCACACGCACACGCACATCCACACACCCACACTCACACCCACACCCTAGAGTTTTAAGCAGTTGTAATGGTGGCGAGCAGTACCTATTATCGATTAATGAAAACGGCTCTATAAAGGACTGTTATGTGACTAAAAACCTATTGTCATAGCTGCAACTGCTGTAGATTTCAATAGGTTTGAGTCACTTATAATTCGCCATATGCGTGTTTTATTTAGCACCGATTTAGGAGGAAGACTGACATGCTATAACAATTGCGATTCTACTCATATCGTACGAACCGATCGAAAATCGTCGGTTAATTCCGGTTACTTTTGTGACTGACCGTTAACCGTGATTATTTCCTTTGCTCTCAATGTTTCACAGCGTAAAAAATGACGGTTAACCACGGTTAACCTTCCGGCTGACCGAAGAAATATCGGTCAGAACTGTTAACTTTTTCGGTCAACCAGATGGTCCGCCGTGGTTAACCGTCGGTTTTCACGCTGTGAAACCTCCAGAACAAAGGAAATAACCGCGGTTAACCGTGGGTCACAATTATAACCAGAATTAACGGATGATTTTCGATTGGTTCGTATGACACGTGAACCTCGTGTACACTATTATTGTGTCATTAGAGATCCTAAGAAATACGTACATGATTTATTATTTACAGTTGCTGAACGAAAAGAATGAAACTAATGTCCGTTTCAAAATATAATGCTTCCCACTGTTTTTTGAATAACTCAAGAACGCAATCAGCTAGAGATCTGCGGTTTTCACCAAGCGAAAGAAGAGACAGGGGGACGTCTTTTTCTCCAATATTGTATCAGACAAAATGATTTCAGAATTAGTCATTTCTGCAAAACATTGCAAAAAATGCATGAAAACGACCCGGCATTCTGAAAAAATTTTCCTTTTGACATGTGATCTGGATAGAGAAACTTCGGATCTATACTTCAGCATATAATTCGAATGATTATCTTACCGCATCCTAACGTTTAGCAAATAAAATTGTCTATTTACTCGCAAGAAAACTATGAATTTCTTTTAATGTTGAAGCAAATTTTTTTACTTTTTGCCAAAATTTCATCTGAATGACAGACCATTTTTTCGATGTTATGCAGAAATGACTGGTTTCAAAATGATTCCGTCTGATACGATATTGAAGAAAAAGATGCCCCCCTGTCTCTTCTTTCGATTGGTGAAAACCGCAGGTCTCTAGCTGATTGCGTTCTTGAGTTATTCAAAAAAACAGTGGGACGCATTATATTTTGAAACGGACATTACTTCGTATTAACTAGTAGCATAAAAATAATCATTCTAATGGTTCAATATGCCATTTCAAAGTAAATACTTTTCATCTATAAAAAGAACATCTCGTAATCTTCTCATCGAAATAAACTTAGTATTCAATTTTTTAAAAGATATTTTTCCTTTTGTACTAATCATCATTGACGTTTACGATAAAACAGAAATGATTGTATAAAGAGTTGTCGTGAAAGAAATTTTGATTATGCTTTCTTGATTTATTTTTATTGATTGAATTGCATTATTAATTTTGATTCTTGATACTCGATAGAAATTCAGAGAATTTGAATGAAAAAAAAATGGTCGAGTATCGATTTATTCCCGGGCTTGTGAAACCGAAGTTCCACGTCCAAAAGCTTTAGTCTCTTATGGTAAGAATATCGTTGGTTTAACCCGAGAACGCGGCTCAACCGCTTACCTTTCTCATTTAATACTATATTATTTTGTTCTACATTGAAGTTATGCAATACATATTCTGTATTTTTTTTTCGTTCTCTTCTATAAAAATATCTGATGACTAACATTGATGACTCATCAAAGTAGAAAAAAAAATCATAGTTCCTTCTCTATTCCTTTCAATCTCAATTTCTGTTTTCATATTCGAGTAGCCTTCTTGTATTCTTTGGTTTTACATGTATTTGTATAGAGTGATTATTCATTTGACTACAATAAAAACAAAGAATAATCGAATAAAAATTTGTTGAACAAGGCTTATTTGCATCTTTTTTCTGTAGCCTTAAGGCCTCCTCTCTCAAAAATCGATCTCAGGCCAGGAACATTCAAATTGCATGAATTTTTCAGGATGTGTTTGGACTGATGTGGGAAGGCTATGGTAAAATTTTCAGTCCTATATCATGACGTTTGACGGAGATATTCACCAAACAAGGGTCAAAGATAGCTCAATCGTATCTCCAAGAATTCTCTGTGGGTCTTCATTCTATAGATTTAACTTCTTTTTGTTTGTAAGCTTGTGTTTAGGGCTAGCTCCTCTCGTCGCCTTTTTATTAAATTCTTACTTTGTAACCGAAGAAAAGGGATGACAAGTTCAATGACTCAAAAAACTCCTAAATAAAATGGCGTTATTTCTATGGAGGTGTTTTGTTATATGATAATAAAAAGGCTTACTTTAAAAAACGGGGTTACGAGAGAGGCTAGCCCTAAACAACAGCTTTGAAACAAAAAAAGTTATTGGCTACAATGAAGCCCCTTCGGGAATTCTTGAAGATACGATCAAAAACCTATAAAACGAGAAAAAACGGAAAAAAGTTTTGGTTTTTTTCAAAAACACCTTATTTTTCGAAAAGAGGATGACGGAAATCCTTCAAAACTTTTGGGAAAATAAAGTGCCGAGTAAAAATTTTTGTCATTTATGAGACATCAGATCACGGGCTATCTTCTCCTGCATTTATCTTAACTTTGATGATTCTGACGAAAAGTGACTTTTTTAAGGGGACCTTAAGCGCATAAAGGACTTCAAATGGTAATTTTAGTAGAATATTGTTCTCAATAAGAATATACGAGTGAGAAATAGCAACGACTTCAGTCTTGAAGTCTTTAAGCTATAGTTTTTGTGATACACGATCTAAAAGCAGTAGTGAACTACAGGACAGAAAGTTGCATCTTGTCACAAACTGTGACAGATGTTGTTGATATACAATCACAGACTGGATATCAATAAGGTCTCATTATAATATGTGAGCTATATTCCTTGTTACATTTGTGAATAAGTGTGTCCCAAAATAGACAGAGTAATAGAACCTCCCTGTGAGTGTGAGTGTTAATAAAGTGAAATTCCAATCCCACACCCCCACCCACTTACGCTCACACCCACACCCACATCCTCTATACAGAATTTACTTTTGCAGTTTTTCTGCAAAAGTAAATTCTGTCATTTCGATAGTCTTTCTTTCTGATATTGTCGATTATATTTTCTCTTGCTGCTGTTAAAATAAAAATTTTATTTCATTTGAAATTTCGCTCATTCACATATTTAAATGTCCACAGAACTGTATTCCTCATTAAAACCATCAAGGAAGTATCTTGGTGGTTTTGTAGAATATTGTTGGTCTAATAAAACAAACAGACTAATACGTTTCCTGTAAACTTCCGACATTGTTATAGTTGTCACTTATTAACGGAACCGATAATGATTTACTACCATTCCACGAACAATTTCACCCTCTGAGATGTTATAAAATCCTGGTTGCAGTTTAGCTTCTTCCTCCCTTGATCCTTACTTATACCAACATTCTCGCTCATAGACATGGGCAAAATCGACTTTGTTTCAAATTAGAATCCAATTGAATATGGACTCCGAAGATTTAAGTGTAGTATTGGAATTGTTAGGTGAAAGTTTTCTTTTTTTGGATCAGAATCGATATCGATATTGTAGAATCCTATTCCGATTAGCAAATTGCTCATGCCAAGTTACAGATACAACAGCATTGGCATTTAGCAATGAATTCTGAATGAACACAAGTCTCGAAAATCTTTTGAATTATGAAAATAATACTATTGTTGAAGAACAAGAAGATGATGAACGAAGTTTTCATTCCGACTGCATTTTTAACTTTTGTAAGTAATTTTTAAAAAATGACAATCCGATTTCAATACTCCTGTAACATGGAATTGGAATCAGATCTGAATTTCCTTCATTCATTATTTTAGGATCGTATCGGAATTAGCAAACTCAAGTTTGTTTTTGCTATCGAAATCCCCCATTTCTAGTTATTCATAGGACATTTTCATAGTAATGATAGAACACAAAAAATAATTAGCATGGTGATCCAGCGCATGACAAACGAAATAGATGACATCGATCAGTGTTTGTACCGTTTATCGATGGTTGCATATTAGTGGAATGAAGTCCAAGTATAACATGCCAAAGATGTTCAAAAGCTACTCCAAACCGTTTCTCCTCAGGTATACCAGTTTTTTCAGGAACGTGTTCTGCGGTACAATATGGTTCTTGACTAACATGATACAATTTTGACCATTGTTCATATGTGTAGTGATGAATACGTTGCTTTGTTACGTAAAACTGAGCACAGCAATATGTTGAAATGAGATTAGTATCTTTCGGATTAATTTTTGTAGGATTCAATTGAAGTTCAGCATCGTAGCCTAGTAATTTTAATAACCGACTTGCACAATGATACAGCAACGATATTTGAGAAATCGGATCTCGTCTCCATACGATCCAAGGTCGATCTTGTATCCAGAATGAATTAACACTGGCATAATGAACATCATCACGTATGCATAAGGCGGCTTCGATTGGATGAGGCGAATGAGTAAACGGATCTCCATGAATAAATAGAATTTTTTCTGGTAAATCGTAGTAGTAATCATAAATAAACTGCAAATAAATACCAGCTTCTTGTTTAACATTTCGACAATAAGGCCAGTTATAGGGAGGCCTAGATTGTGGATCAATACGTTGATAGAGGTGTACACGATAAGGCACTGAATTATTTCCGGTCATATGGAGTCCTGCACGAAGCCAAAGTGGCCAACTTGATTGATTACTCCAATCGATTTCTTTCCACATGGCTGGTACTACAACAAGCTTATTGATTGGCCATTTGCTATGAGACAAATTGTTCGTGGTTAGATGCGTAGTCGTTGTGCGCAATGTCAATTGTGGACCAAAAAAGAGATTGTTACCATTTGAATCTTTTCTTATGAATACAAGACCTACAATACCAAGTAGAATCAATCCCATAATGATACGACCGACATAACTAAAAGAACATCAATAAGTTATCATAGGCAACGTAGAAATTAGTAACTTAATGGCTAGAGATCCACATACATCTGACACCCTATTGAACTTTGCTGGAGGAGTTTCTATATTTTTTGCCTAAAATTTACATTTTGATCCAAACTCTGAAAAGTGGAGAGGTTTCTTAGAAAATATGTTACGAAACCCCAAGTTTTCATCAATACATCAACAAAAATCTAGTTATTTTTCGAACACCCTTATTTATTTTCAGCGAAGAAGTTTAGATGCATATCTGCTTATGATAAAAGCTTAACTTTGGTATTTTTCGAAAGATTAGATTTTCTAAGAAGGGAGGGAATATTTTCACTAAAATAACGTTGCTATCCTCATGTAAATGGTGAGTGTTTAGAAAGAGGACATTCAAACAATCATACGGTGCATTTCGACACTTGGTTTGATCAATGAAGGTGGAGTATAAACGAATTTGTTCATGGCTTTCCTTTAATTTTAAGTTACCCATTTCTATTGTTTCAATTGTGTTTCAAGTGATCAGATGTCGAGTTTAATAATATGTATTGAACACCGGTGTAATATCTCTAGAATATATGAAAAGATTAGAGGAAATTCAATCTCTAGAACGTAATTAGACGCTCGATGGAAAACAATAATATCATTCATCTTAAACTTGAAAATTGAAAAACTAAATTTCAAATATTCAATTTGATCGATCAAGCAAAAAGACACATATACCTCTCTCTCTCTTGGCTTAGACGCCACGAACACACATAGACTCATTCCTCTCCAAGTGAGATATTTGAATAATCGAATTCTAATTCAATAATTGAATTCAACTTTCAAGTTTGACACTATTGAGAAAAAGCAAATGTAAGAACTAGTTCGCAGAAATTAAAAAAAAGAACGACTGAATTATGACAAGTGATACCATGTGTTCTCAATTACAATCAAATTTTCGCCTCACCTACAGGCCATTACAAAAAAAAACTCGCACACCATGGAGAAGAATAATAAATCGTATTTACGTAGAACGATCTTTTTTTCATCGTAACCAAGCATAACTGCGTTGTAAGTTTTCACCACTACGATTACAATGCAGCACACTTACGCGTAGTTGTGATGAAAGAATCACACTTCTAGGTAACCACATTTTTTTATTTACTGCAAGGGTATATAACTATGTCTTCATTTTCCACGACTGTTAGTCGCAATGCGATCGGGGTGAGGGTGTTGGTGGGGTGTGGGTGGGTGTGGGGTGTGGG